GAATTAGTAGCAGAACATGAAGACAAATCATTTTGTTACAATTTTGCTTCAAACGATACTCCTGTTTTTTGATTACAGACTACTGAGGGGACTAGGTCACGCTGGTGTCGGAAATAAAAGTTCCCATTCATTTACCCATGTACTGTTTTAAATGTTCTTTTTGAAGCACTTTTCATTCTTTCCAAGCCTCCATTGATTTCAAGAATTTTGCATCATAATTCTGAATGCCTACAAATGTAGTTTTTTCTTGACTGTATTTCACCCATAATTTAAATCAATTTAATTTATCGCCACCATCCTAATCCTCCTTGTAGTGAAAAAAAAACTACACGTCGCATAATCCTCCTGATTCACGGGCAGAACGAGTTCATTGATATGCATTAAAATTATCAAGCATCTTTCCATATTTGTTTGTTTAGCCTGGTTAGAGCATGCTAATTGTTAAGTACTCAGAGGTCTGCTTTAGTCATGCTTACCAGTGAACTAGCTGTTAGCTAGGTTTGTAGTTAGCTAACATAATATTTGTTGCATTTAAATGCCAGCTAGCGAAATGCTCACGGTTCAACACTAAAAAGTAGCCAAAAAAAAATTACAATTTACGTTTTTTTTTTGACTTACCTAGCTTTCGAAGGCAAGGCTAGCAAAATAGCAAGCTTGCTATTTTGCTAGCTTATTTGCTTATATTTGGTGAATATTACTGCTAGCTAGCTTGCTAAATTACAGTGAGTAATACTAAACTAAGCATTTACTGTTTGCTATCAAATTATGTACACCAGGGTAAATTAGCTAATTAGTTGGCTAGGTAGGTATTTTGCTGGATTTGCTAGTTACATTTGGTGCATATCAATGCTAATTAGTTAGCTATATTGCAAAATATGTATAAGGATTTTGCAAAAGGGGACCACAAACTGGAATACAAATGCCAATGCATAATATTTATGACAATGAACAACAAAGTTGATGTTACCTTTTGGCTCCGTACACCCGGTAGGGTAATCCTGGAGGGATCTATTTCATGAAATTAATTTGAGGTTGAGCAATTCTGGAAAGTATCCAAACCCCATTATACATTTCAATGGGGATTTTATTTCTGTCACCAAAATATAAGTAGCTGTGATGAAGTCAACTCGATATGCTATTTGGAGTACATTCAATCACACATTGTTACCTGTAAGCTTATTGGGGCTTGAAGCCCACAATCCAGGCCTAACAAATTCTTTCAATGTCCTTAAGCATGACTCTTGGACACAGCTTCAAGGGGCATCCAGAGTTGAACTGGGGACCTCTTGATCTGCAGTCAAATGCACTACCACTGAGCTACACCCCATGATGCCCTCTTGGGGAAGATATTGCAAAACAGAAAATAAGTAAACTGAAAACCCTCACGCTATCAAAAGACCTTCAATATTTACTAAGTACATTAATTCTTCCCAAGTAGCACAGGTGTAATCAAAGTTGTTTTCAGACCCTTAATTTCCCTTAAGTGTTCACTTAAACCTGAACAAAGCCCAAAAACTTGAAAACTAAGGAATGGAGCATGAAGCCAAAACAATTTGTTATAATTCTGCTTCGACCAACCCTTGATTCTGTGTGAAAACTTGTGGACCCAACAATTTGGCATCATTATTCATGCTTCATAGGGTCTTGTAGCTCTGAAGCTTGGCCTGAAGATTTCCTTCAGTTTTCAAAAATATTGCTCCCATCAACAATTGCAGGCACTACCCAGATATGAAATGGGGCCCTGTTGATCTGCAGTGAAATGGTCTACAAATGAGCTGTACCCCCTTAAACTGTTTGTTATTACACATTGTACAAAACAATACATTCCCGTAAGAAACCCTACTCCATCAAAAACATTCAGTCCCTGAAAAATAGAATGAAGCTTCCCATGTGGGACAGGAGTAATGAAAATTGTTTGATGACCTCTAATTTTTGTTTTCACGTGAATGCGAAGAATTGCGACAATATTGAAGAATTAGTGGTGGAACGTGGGACAAAATGTGTAGTTATTATTTTGCTTCACCAAACACAAGCTGTTGTGAGATCATTTGTGGACTTTGAAATCAATCATTGTTAGTCATGTTACACTGGGACAAGAAGCTTTCAGTCATGGCCTCAGGCTACCCTGACATGCTCAAAAGCACATTTATGGGACACAGTCAGAGGGGGCACCCAGATTTGAACTGGGGACCTCTTGATCTGCAGTCAAATGCTCTACCACTGAGCTATACCCCCCTGATGCATTATCTAATAAGTTATTGAAAAAAAGAAAATAAGTGACTTTACAAACCCTGCTCTTTCAAAAGACATTCGTCCTTTCAAAGGAGAGTAATTCTTCCCCAAGTAGTAAAGGAGTCATCAAATTTGTTAGCAGACATGTAACTTGTCTTAAGTTTTCACTTTAACCTAAATAAAATCTAAAAACTTGAAGAATAAGGAGTGGAGTGTGAAGCCAAAACAATTTGATATAACTCTCCTCCAACCAACTCTTGAGTTTGTCTGAGAAATTGTGGGCCTCAGGATGTCCATCAATCTTCATCCGTACTGCTCCTGGACACAGTTGCACGCACTACCCACATTTGAAATGGGGCCCTGTTGATCTGCAGTCAAATGCACTACGAATGGGCTATACTCCCACTGATGATATTTTTTGTCAGACATTGCAAAACTGAATGCATTCAAGTTGCTGTACAAAGCGCAGGCCATCAAAAACATTCAGTCCCTGCCAAATAGAATAATGCTTCCCAAGTGGCACAGGAGCAATGAAAATTGTCATCTGACCTCTAATTTCACTTATATTTTCACAAGAATGCAAAAAAAATCCACAAATTTGAAGAATTAGTAGCAGAACATGAAGACAAATCATTTTGTTACAATTTTGCTTCAAACGATACTCCTGTTTTTTGATTACAGACTACTGAGGGGACTAGGTCACGATGGTGTCGGAAATAAAAGTTCCCATTCATTTACCCATGCACTGTTTTAAATGTTCTTTTTTGAAGCACTTTTCGTTCTTTCCAAGCCTCCATCGATTTCAAGAATTTGCATCATAATTCTGAATGCCTACAAATGTAGTTTTTCTTGACTGTATTTCACCCATAATTTAAATCAATTTAATTTATCGCCACCATCCTAATCCTCCTTGTAGTGAAAAAAAACTACACGTCGCATAATCCTCCTGATTCACGGGCAGAACGAGTTCATTGATATGCATTAGAAATTATCAAGCATCTTTCCATATTTGTTTGTTTAGCCTGGTTAGAGCATGCCAATTGTTTAGTACTCACAGGTCTGCTTAGTCATGCTTACCAGTGAACTAGCTGTTAGCTAGGTTTGTAGTTAGCTAACATAATATTTGTTGCATTTAAATGCCAGCTAGCGAAATGCTCACGGTTCAACGCTAACTAAGTAGCCAAAAAAATTACAATTTACGTTTTTTTTTTAATTGACTTACCTAGCTCGGTAGCGAGGCTAGCAAACTAGTAAGCTTGCTATTTTGCTAGCTTATTTGCTTATATTTGGTGAATATTACTGCTAGCTAGCTTGTTAAATTACAGTGAGTAATACTAAACTAAGCATTTACTGTTTGCTATCAAATTATGTACACCAGGGGTAATTAGCTAATTAGTTGGCTAGGTAGGTATTTCGCTGGATTTGCTAGTTACATTTGGTGCATATCAATGCTAATTAGTTAGCTATATTGCAAAATATGTATAAGGATTTTGCAAAAGGGGACCACAAACTGGAATACAAATGCCAATGCATAATATTTATGACAATGAACAACAAAGTTGATGTTACCTTTTGGCTCCGTACACCCGGTAGGGTAATCCTGGAGGGATCTATTTCATGAAATTAATTTGAGGTTGAGCAATTCCGGAAAGTATCCAAACCCCATTATACATTTCAATGGGGATTTTATTTCTGTCACCAAAATATAAGTAGCTGTGATGAAGTCAACTCGATATGCTATTTGGAGTACATTCAATCACACATTGTTACCTGTAAGCTTATTGGGGCTTGAAGCCCACAACCCAGGCCTAACAAATTCTTTCAATGTCCTTAAGCATGACTCTTGGACACAGCTTCAAGGGGCATCCAGAGTTGACCTGGGGACCTCTTGATCTGCAGTCAAATGCACTACCACTGAGCTACAACCCATGATGCCCTCTTGGGGAAGATATTGCAAAACAGAAAATAAGTAAACTGAAAACCCTCACGCTATCGAAAGACCTTCAATCTTTACAAAGTACATTAATTCTTCCCAAGTAGCGCAGGTGTAATCAAAGTTATTTTCAGACCCTTAATTTCCCTTAAGTGTTCACTTAAACCTGAACAAAGCCCAAAAACTTGAAAAATAAGGAATGGAGCATGAAGCCAAAACAATTTGTTATAATTCTGCTTCGACCAACCCTTGATTCTGTGTGAAAACTTGTGGACCCAACAATTTGGCATCATTATTCATGCTTCATAGGGTCTTGTAGCTCTGAAGCTTGGCCTGAAGATTTCCTTCAGTTTTCAAAAATATTGCTCCCATCAACAATTGCAGGCACTACCCAGATATGAAATGGGGCCCTGTTGATCTGCAGTGAAATGGTCTACAAATGAGCTGTACCCCCTTAAAACTGTTTGTTATTACACATTGTACAAAACAATACATTCCCGTAAGAAACCCTACTCCATCAAAAAACATTCAGTCCCTGAAAAATAGAATGAAGCTTCCCATGTGGGACAGGAGTAATGAAAATTGTTTGATGAGCTCTAATTTTTGTTTTCACGTGAATTCGAAGAATTGTGACAATATTGAAGAATTAGTGGTGGAACATGGAGACAAAATGTGTAGTTATTATTCTGCTTCACCCAACACTAGCTGTTGTGAGATCATTTGTGGACTTTGAAATCAATCATTGTTAGTCATGTTGCATTGTGACAAGCAGCTTTCAATCATGGCCTCAGGCTACCCTTCCATGCTCTAAAACACATTTGTGGGGCACAGCTTCAGGGGGCACACAAATTTGAACTGGGGGAATCTCTTGAGGTGCAGTAAAATGCTCTACCACTGAGCTATACCCCCCTGATGGATTTCAGTTTTGATATTGAGTCTTCTAAAAATGGAATAATGTTTCCCAAGTTGCATAGGAGTAATCAAAACTGTTTGCAGACATATAATTTCCCTTAAGTTTTCACTTGACCCTGAACAAAGTCCAAAAACCTGAAGAATAAGTAGTGGAGCATGAAGCCAAAACATTTTGTTATAATTCTGCTTCGACCAACCCTTGATTCTGTGTGAAAACTTGTGGACCCAACAATTTGGCATCATTATTCATGCTTCATGGCGTCTTGTAGCTCTGAAGCTTGGCCAGAAGATGTCCTTCAGTTTTCAAAAATATTGCTCCCATCAACAATTGCAGGCACTACCCAGATATGAAATGGGGCCCTGTTGACCTGCAGTCACGTGCTCTACAAATGCACTATATTCCCTTGATCAAATTAAGCAGCAGACATTGTTAAATGAATATATTCATCTTATGAATGCTACTCCATCAAAAAACATAAAGTCCCTACCAACCAGAGTAATGCTTTGCAAGTGGCACAAGAGTAATCAAAATTGTTTGCAGACACCTAATTTCCCTTAAATTTCACGAGAATGCGAACAAATTCCATAAAATTGAAGAACTGGTAGCAGAACATGCAGACAAAATGTTTTATTATAATTCTGCTTCAACAAACACTTGCTGTTGTGAGATCATTTGTGGACTTTTAAATCAGGCATCATTACTTGTGTTACTTTGGACGGTGTTGCTCTCAGTCTCCTTATAACGTGTCATTTGTTGAGTGGAATGGTATGTTCTTTACAAAGCCCCAAGATATCGCTGACTATTTAATAATTTTTTCATCAATAAGGTGAACAATCTGAGGCAGAGCCTTAGAGGCTCTGATTCTAATTGCACAGCACTTATACAAATGACTGATGAATGATTGAGGCATATTGGCAAGTCAGAAATAATGGGAGCTGTTGTGTTAGATATTTGTGCTGCATTCAATGTCATTAATCATTATATTTTGATTGAAAACCTTAAATGTTATGGTTTTAATCCATCTTCTACAACATTGATGAATAGTTATCTTTCCTCAACAACTCAGAAGATTTTTTCTTTTTTTTTTTTTTTACAATTGTATTCTATCAAATTGTAATTGTTTGCTTTGTAGTTTACTTCAAGGAAGTTGGCTTGGACCCCTCCTGTTTATGATTTTTATCAATGACTTGCCCTTTGCTGTAAAAAAAAAAAAATTAAAAAAAAAAAAAAAGCAGGTAGAACAATGTACACTCATGATTCCACAGTACATTATACAGCAAACAAGTCATGATGTGAAGTAAGTTTTGAAAGTGAGTTGAACATAGTACATGATTGGATTAAAATGAATATATTAGCCTTAAATATATCTAAAACTAAAGGTATTGTTTTTGGATCACAGCATAGATTGGTTTCTTAGCCTGAACTGGAATTATCCATCTCTGGTGAACTCATTCAACAGGTAAATAACGCAAAATTGCTGGACCTAGTTCTTTACAGTCACTTTTCATGGACTGAGCAAATAAACACAATTCTTAATAAAATGGGTCAAGGCGTTGCAGTCACAAGGAGGGGTTCACCCTATGTACAATACACATTCTAGGTCAGGTTCCTTGATCATGAATTTAGTGTCACTTGCCAATTGTCCAGCAATGTGGTCATCTCCATTTAAAACAAACCTTGCAAAATCACAAGTTGCACAAAATAGGGCTGCAAGACTGGTCTTGGGCTGCTCTATCAGACAAAAAACTGAAAAGCTGTATTCTAGCCTCTCATGGCTCACCATTGAGGCAAGGATTTCTTTAACCATGGCTGTATTGTGCCAATGTTTCTATTTGACCAAATAGTTTACTGTAGTAACTTCCATAATCACAACACTAGATTTCCAGGTGATAATTGCATTGTGCTTCCCAGTCCAAGGACTAACTCATTGAAAAAAACTGAAAGTCATAATAAACTAGAAGAATTTACCTCTTAGGATCCGTCAGAACAAAAGTAAATTGTCTTTCAAAAAGGGCATGCAGAGGTACTTATTGGAAGCAGATGATAGACTGAATATTAGATGGTATAAATAGTCGGAGTTCTATATATTTTGAGCTTCATTTCAGTTGAGATAAATATATTGTGCAACATTAACTTTAAATTGATTTTTAATTGGTTTTCTTCCCAAATGTATGCACGGTGTTGACTGGATCTGAAAAGCATGTGAATGTAAGTGTTTTATGTGTGTGTGTATACTGCTGTAATTTAATGAATATTAATGCTTGTTGTTATTATGTTATGTGTTGTGTATTGTATGTCAGATGGGGACCCCAGGAAAACTAGCTGATTACCTTGGCATCAGCTAATGGGGATCTTAAATAAAATTTAAAAAAAGAAACAAATCTTGGCCTGAGGATGTCCTTCAATGTTTAAACAAGTGGTGACAGGCATAGCAAACACTACCCCTCGCACATATTTTCACTATTCAATGAGTTTATCAAGTTTTCAGGTACATGTGCTCTTTCAAGGTCACTCAAGGTCAAAGGTCGTGATGTAATTTGACTAGCCATTATTGATTTCCTATATGTGATTAATAGTAACCAAGTAGCTATTTACTCTATTTTTTGAGAAATAGGCCTTCTAAAATCTCATCACCTTTGGCTTGACCTTTCATGGTCACTCAAGGTCAAAGGTCATGGTGTCATTTTAATCTCCATTTATGATTTCCTATTTGTTGTTCATAGTTACCAAGTGGCTATCTACTGTAGTTTTTTTGAGATACAGAGTAAATTAGGTGATTCAGATCAATGACCTCGATCCCCCTGAACTTCGAACCCTTCATTGAAACTACGCACTTTTCACGATAGTAATTGGAGGATTATATTTTATAAATTGAAGCAGCAAACTTTTGGCATTGGTTTTATATAAATCGAACCATTTTTGACAGCAATAGCCAAAGAAACTATTTTGACTGTGACTGTGACCTTGAACCACCGTTTTCCAAATTTAATGGGATCTATTTGGGGTCATTGCCCAACTTTCTGCCAAATTTTAAGTTTGGGTTTTTTTTTTGTAATCTTGCTAATGAACAAAAAAACAAATAAATAAACAGTTGCACAAACCAAGAGGATGACAATTCCCTCACCCTTCTTGTGCAGGGGGTAGAGGATGCTTCTCTGGGGCTCAATGGCCGGGGACACCCAGATTTGAACCAGGGAACCTCTTGATCTGCAATCAAATGGTCTGCCACTGAGCCATATGATGCTTTTATTTAGTGGACATTGTAAAACAGAATGCAAGTCAATTCACAAACCTTACTACTCCATCATAAGACATTCAGTCCCTACTAAACAGAGTAATGCCTTGCCACTGACTATACATCCCTCTTTGGCCTGCAGGGGGCAGCAGTCATTTAATGGAGCATAAGCAGGTCAAGCGTTTGCTGTTTGCGAATTGGGTTAACCTGCTTTGACAAGCAGCATGGTGACAGCAAGGCCAAGCGGGTGAAAAGGTCAAGTCACATTAAGTCAAATCATCAGTGAATGCCAGCACCCTCCACCTGCTGGACACTGTTTGATTAGTGTGCTAGACTGTGAAGAGTTTGTCCAGGGTTTGTGAACATGACTGTTATTTCACCCGATATTCTAAACCCTAATGCCAACATTAGGATGTTGGTGCGTGTCGATGTTTGTTGGATCAGTATGACTTGGCCTCTAGACTTGGCCCCCAATCTCAGCGCCCAATGAGGCTCGCCTGCGTTTCCTTGCATAAGCGGAAGAAACATGCTGGTGGGAGGAGCTACAGGGGATTTCATCTGTGAATTATCATTGTGATTTTTCAGAGTCGCCGAGATTATCCTATCATCTGATAACACCCCGCTGAGCAGATTTCGCTATTAAAGTCGATGCAAATGGTTGTTGCTATGGTAACGGGATTGGGGAGGAAAATAAATCCGTTCCGCTTGAGTATGTGTTGTGCATGCGAGTGTGTGTGTGTGTGTGTGTGTGTGTGTGTGTGTTTTTGTATGTGTGCATGAGTGCACAGACACGCATGCGCACGCGCGCGCGCACACACACACACACACACACACACACACATCCCATGCACTTCCATCCTCGTGAGGACACTGACCTCCATTCATTCTTTGTGTGTCTCTACAGCCTTTCCCTAATCTTAACAATAAGCAACGTATGTCCAACCCAAACCCTTACCCTAACCTTAGCCTATCCCTAAGTCTAACCTTACCTGTAATCTTAACTAACAAGTCACAATTTGCCTTTGTAGTTGTGAGGACAGGCGAAAATGTCCTCACTTCCCAATAATGTCTCTACTCTGTAGGAAAAAAAAAAAACATTTTCTGGTTCACTCTGTGTAGTAAGTACAAGAATGTGTGTGTGCGCGCGCGTGCTCGCGTGTTTTCTTGATCTTGCTACAAAGTGATAACCAAAGAACGTTTTTGTTTTTTTTTTCTGACGGAGTGGGGACAGCTTTGGGAAGTGAAGACATTTTCATGTGTCCTCACAACTACAGAGGCAAATTGTAACTTATTAAATGTTAGGTGTAAGGTTAGAATTAGTGATAGATTAGGGTTAGGGTAACGGTTGGGTAAGGGTATGCGAGCGTTTCATATCATTTAGATTAGGGAAAGGCTGTAGAGACACAAAGAATGAATGGAAGTCAATGTAATGTCCGCACAAGGATAGAAGTACAAGGATGTTTGTGTGTGCGCGTGTGTTAACGTGTGCGCGCGCGCTAGTGTTTGTATGTTTGAGCGCTGTATATCCGCATGCAGTTCTTTTCTTGCATCCAAGATTATAGGGGACAATTTTCCGTGGTTCTGGTCTCAGGAGTGTTTTCTCTCCAAATGTGAATTGGGAATGGCCAATTTGATTGAAACCCCTTCCCTGCTAGATTATGTAAGAGCATTCATAAGTAGCTCTCCCAATAATATTCTATTTCATATGAGTTTCATTCATGCACATGCTCACACAGTCTCTTATGCGCACGTGCGCATACGTGCGCAGTTCAAAAAGGCTGACGTATAATATATCAAATTCAGTCTGTCGAAGTGCTGGCGTTGAGCAACAGAACTAATTTCACTGCACATCGCTGTCTATTTGACTTTGCATAGCCCAGAGAAAGATTATATCATACCTGTACTGGGTACTGTATGATCTTATGTTGTGTATTTTGTTCTTTCCGAACGACTATGAGAAGATTAATAAAAATTAGCTGTGTTCAACGCCTTCACCTCCACACATGGTTTAATTATGAGATGACTTTTGTCATTTTCACGAGCATGTGGAATTAAAACAAAATAAGATTATTGCCATTTGGAATTAGTTTCCATAATACTGCATATTGAATGTGTGAGTGTATTTAACTGGCGTGGAGTAATGTTGAGAGCCGTCTAGCTTGTTAGAACGAACGAGTCGATTTGAGCAGTCATTCATTAGTGACAACATTAGTCTAAAGACACCGCTTGCAGTGTTGACATTCTGTATCTTAACTGCCATTGTTTTCACCTGGGGATAGCAAGCATCGACTCGGCGGTTTGAGTTAGGGTAAATGCGGATAGATTCCGCCTATATATATATTCACTTCAAGGCTATAGCCCATGAAAAAATCACTTCAAAGAGGGATTATGAAAAATTTCAACGACATTCAATGCCTGGAGTCATTTAGTAATTAACAGCATTGTCTTTCTAATGCAATCTGCAGTATTATTGGCCATGATTACTTTTTTGAAGATGTTAAACTTTTTTTTTCATAAACTTAATAGCATGACATGAACATCAGAAAAAGCATAAGTCAGATCACGAAGTAACACTAAAGAAGAAAAACAACACGCGTGCTGGATGATTCATCTGGTTAATGAATCAGTTCAAATGTGTCATTTTCTTAAATTTGCTATTGTGCATAGTAATTATAAATGCAAATCTCAGGTAAACTGTTTTGAGACTTCTGAAGAGAGTTAATGAGAGCTAGTGGTTACCTTGTGAACACCTCTGATAACAAGCTAATATTACACGAGGATAAACCGTTTTGTGAAAGGAAGCGATGTTTTGGCTGCTGCGGGAACAGCGAACGGAATTAAAGGACTGGAATAGAGAGGATCATGTGGTCCGCGCTGGTGAGAATCCGCGCGCCGTGCTGAAGCAGTGGGGAAATATACGCGTCACAAACGCCCTTGGATTCAAAGAAGTCCATTCAAAATGCCAACGTTTTCTGTCATGTATAAAGGAGCAGTGATGTTAAGCAGGTAAATGCTCGCGTCGTGGGAATTATGATTGGGAAATGTATGGTGGAAATCTTTCAACTGTTGCTATAGTAGAAAACGTGCTGCGCGACTATGAATTCTGATGGTTTAAAGCGCATTTACGCAAACAGTGAAATTATCTGAGTTGAGCTTGTGCTAGTGCACCGTGGGTTTTCAGAATATGCGAATGTGCCCAAACTTCTTCTTCAGTGCCTTTCCGAATGTTTACGTTCAATGAAATTTATAAAGTGCTGCTCTGTTGGAATAGTGTCTTCGGCTGCGGACATGTGCGTATCAAGAGGAGGCTGTAATCCGCGATTACAGTGCCTTAAACAACATGGGAGACCTGGTTTCGCACGGCTTTATTTGGGACATGCGAATGAGATGAAGCAAGAACATTCACGATGAAGTAAAACATTTCCAGGCCTATTCTGTACAGAATGTGAATGGTGGATAGGACTTTGACTGAGATCACGGCATTTAAATTCCACAAGATAGAACGGTAATGTTGATTGAAATATTGCGAATCGTTAAATGAGCGAGACTGAAGCTTCGAATTAAAATTAAAAATCGTGTTTTTTCTGTTTTTAATAATGCATGACCTTCCATTGAACGCCGAAATTTTTCTACAATTAATCGATTGATTTGGCTCCGATCCTCTGTACCTACACTGTGTTTCTGTTGAAGAGCTCGTTGGCTTTCCTACAGTCCTCGTCTTCTTTGGTTTACCCCCTGGAGCGACTGGTGAAATTTACATCTACTACCTAAACTCGGCAAATATTGGGACGGTACGAAAAATTCGAATAAAATCAGAAAGCAGTGATTTCTAAATTTACTTTGACTTGTATTTTATTGCAGACTGTTTGAAGACGAGATATATAGGCTTAATGATTTGTCTGGTCAACTTAGTTCTCTTTGTTAAGGGTACAGTCTATTCCTGCACTTCTGGCCTGTGACGCATTCCAAAAAAAAAGTTGGGATGGGGGCAATTTAGCACTATGTGGAACTAAAATAAAGAGGAATAAAAAAGAATAGCGATTTGATTAGAAACGGCTGATGTCAGCAGGCTATTGTAATCATGATTTGGGGCAAAAGCAGCATCCCGGAGAGGCCTATCCTTCAGGAGCAATTTGCACAAAAATGCGTCTAAAAATACTTAAAAGGTTTGAAAACAATGTTCTCCAAGATCGGAATGGATTTGGAAAGTTCATCCTCTATGGTGCGTAATATAATTGAAAGATTTGTGGTAACTGGAGGAATTTCTGTGCGTAAATGGCTAGGGCGCAAGTCTATGCTGAATACCCTTGATCTCCAATCATTCAGACGGACTGAAGACGGCATGAAGAGTCATCATTCATTTGTAAGTGATATAATCACATGGGCGAAGGATTACTAGGGCAGGCCATTGCCTAGTTCAGCAATACGTAATTAGATCCACAAATGCCAGTTAAAACTTTGCGCAAAAAGAAAGCATTAATTGCCGAAATACTGTCAACTTCTCTGGTCTTAGAGGCATCGAAGATGGACCATTATACTATGGAAATGTATATGTTGGTCAGACAAATGGATACTTCAGGTCTGTTTTGAGAAGAAATGGATGCCTTGTGCTCCAGACCAAAGAAGAAATTGACTATCCAGCCAGTTACCAGCACAAGTCCAAAAGCCATTCTCTGTTATGGTACGGGGCTGTGTCAGTGCCCTTGGCCAGCAAATTTTGCACTTTTGTGAGGGCAAAATTAATGCTGAGAATTAAAAGGAGATTTTAGAGCAAGATATGCTGCCAGCAAGGCAACATCTTTTCCATGGATGCTAATGCGTGTTTCAACAAAATGACGCAAAACCGCACTTTCCGTGAATATTAAAAAGGCATGGCTGCATTAGAAGAAGGCGCGGAAGCTGAACTGGCCTGCCTGTAGTCCTGACTTGTCCCTAACGGAGAAGATATGACACGTTTTGAAACACAATGATGTGACAACAAAGACTGTACTGTGACACATCCTAAGAC